TGACGAACCAGTTTCCCTGAGACAAGAGGGGAAGAATGGAGTCAAGGGTGAGCATACGGAATTTCTTGTGGAATATGTATCAGTTGAGGTCTCTTAAGTCCATGATGGGCCTTATACCCCCATCGTTCTTGAGGACTGCGAAATAGTGTGAGAAAAACCCATTGGTACTGTCAGGTGGAATTTGGATTATGGCCTCTTTGGATAACAGAGATGAGACTTCCAAATGCAGCAGCTTGGAAAAGGGAGTAGGCCTAATTGAATTTGATGGAGGGATGCAGAAAAATTCTATCCTGTATCCATGTTGAATGATACTAAGGACCCACTTATCAGTAGTGATGTTTTTCCATTCTTGTAGGAATGGGGACAATCTTGTATAGGAGGGAGATTCATGAGAATTGCGTACCCCTGTGCTGGGCCTTGCGAAAGGACTGCTTAGGGCTACAAAAGCGTTGTTGCTTTAACAGAGGCGTACGAGGCTGCTGAGTTTGGTAAGTGTGGTCCTGCTGTTGCTTACTGTACCGAGAGGGCTTGTACTGAGTAGATGATTGGTACTGTGGCTTTTTGTAGGATAGCTTGTGGTGCCTATACGGCTGGTAAAGTACGTAGGATTTCGCTGTCTTTCTCATCTTATGGATACTGTCCATAGTCTCATCTGTTTTAGAGTTGAACAGTCCCGCAGCATCGAAGGGAAGTTCCTCGATCTTGGTTTTGGTGTCTTTGAGGATGTTGGCTGTTCTAAGCCAGGCGTGGCGTCTAACAGCAATGGCAGTCAGCATGGATTTAGAAGCGATGTCAGCTGTGTGTTTTGCAGCAAATCGCTGTTGCCTGGTAAGAGTGTTAGCCTCTTCATAAACGTTAAGGGCTTCTGCTTTTGCGGGGTCAGGCAGGGACTGGGAGAAGGGTACGGTATCGTGGGCATCAGGACCGGAGTAGAGCGTTGTGGCTCGAACCAAAGAGAGTCCACTATTGTACTTAGCACGCTTGGGGAGTGCTGTAGGTACTGGAGGAAATTGCCCCTTGCGAGATGGTGCTTGAGGCGTAGAAAAATCCTGTTGGGTATGTGGCCGACACGGGATAGAGGGAGCCACGGTATGGTGCCACGGTACTTGTGCCTGAAGCTCCGACTGATAGGTGTAGCCCTGGTATGGATACGGTTGAAACGGAGCATAAAATGGGTGACCAAACTGTGGTGGACTTTGCGGATGGTACCCATCGCCTCCATCCCGAGGCTGTATGGAGCGATGTTTTTGCACTTTTCGGTACGCTTCCTAGGAGTTTCATGATCAGACTCCTGTTCAGATCAGCCCGCCCTGAACATCGAGGGCTTGGATGGGCAACGACCCAGCTGGCATCTGGCTCAGCCTCAAATCAGCCCGAGTTTGGCAACATGCGCATATTGTCCTGAGCCATCTGGGCTAAAGGAATGTGCTCCTCTGCATCAGAGAGTCCAATTGTTTCCCTCGAAGACTCCTCGAGCAATATCAAAGGAGCGGGAGGAGGCACAACAGGCAACTTGGCTGGTTTCTTTGCTCTCTTAGGCTTATCGGTGGCCTTCTTTTTTGCAGGGCGAGAAGGCGGTTTGGCTTTTGGCTGTTTGGAAGCGTCCTTAGCCTTAACTGGCACAGAGATGGTAAGCAGCGGTTGGTCTGCCGGAGAGTTCTGTTTAGAGGCCTCAGCACGTGGCGGGGACAGTCCTGTGAGGGAGGCACTTTCTATATTTGGAGACAGACTCTTTTTGTAAAGGAAAGATCGAAGTCTTTGGCGCCTTAACTTAATCGCTTGCTTTGAAAAACCTTTGCAAGCAGTGCAAGACTGATGTTGATGTGATTCTCCAAGACAAAACAAGCATTTATCGTGTCCGTCTGATAAAGGAATTTTCTGGGAGCAGACAACGCATTGCTTGAAGCCCCGAGGGGCCATAAACAAAAAGAAAAGGGGGGATCCGTTGATCGGGGGGGGAGAGAAAACGCGACAGAACAAACAACTTGGCAAAAATAAAACAGGTTCTGTCGAACAACCGATAAATATACTAAAAAGAATAAGGAGATAAGGCTAGCTAAGCTAGATACTTAACGGTTGATAGCTCTGCTCTTCCTATGTCCTACAGGAACGGCAGAAAAAGATGAACTGAAAGGAAGACGGAGGGGGCTTATATACCCCACGGGGGGGGGAGCTAATTGACTCTTTTTTCTTAAGCTCTAGAATCTTCCGGACATTCCTGTGCAGGCGCAGGATAACCCAATTGTGTGCATTCACAGAGACCACTACGAAGAACACTTAGTACAAGAGTTAAACACATTAAATGGCATCGCCCATCTTGGAGTTAAGCACATCATAGAGGAGAAGAGAAGGAACTCTTTAAAAAGGGACTGTATACACATTCTCTGATCAAGCTGCCTTTTGGAGTGCAAATCCTTTCAATCTCAGCAAACAAGGACATTGGTTGGAGATGATGAGGCGCTGCAGTCCAAAAGAGCTGAAGACATCTCTAGGTATTAGCAGGGATGTTGGCAAGTCTTTGGGTCAAGGTCCCAAGTCCTAAGTCCAAGTCCCTATTTAAAAAGAAGGGTTTTGTCCTCAAAAAAAGAGAGAGGGGTGGGTTCTGAATTGCAAGTCAAGTCCAAGTCATTGAGGAAAAAAACCAGAGTTGAGTCAGAGTTGAGTAACTAGAGCAACTGAAATCCAACTTGACAGCAAGTTTCACAACTTGGGGTCCTATCCTTGGGTATTAGTATCATACGAGTACAAATCTTCATAGGCAGATTACAAGTTCAGTGATACTGCTTGCAACCATAGCTCATAACCCAAAGTAATAAGTAGAAAAAGTCACTAAAAATAATCCACAAATCCAGGTGACCAATTCAGTGGTAAATACAATGAGCAAAAACCTGTGCAGAATGAGTGCCTCAATGTGCCAGGGGTTATGCCCAGCAACGGGAAACAGTTTGTGCAATCGTGTGACCACCATGAAATGATCCAGCAGAAATGCTTCATGAAGAAGCAATTCCACCTTGGCACTCTGTACCTATAGTAGGTGCAACAGGTTTTGCCGATTACTGTACAATCCCAATTCTCATTTCTAATGGCAGCTAAAAAGCAAGTCAGAAATAAAATAAACCGAACTAAAACCAATACCAACAAACACTTCCTTCCACTGTCACTTCAGATGCATATGTAGTCCAGAATTTTTACTCTGTCAGTATCAAGTTTTAAATTGCCTCTTTCAAGCCTCCTCTCCTGAGGTTTACAAGCCAACCACATGGCTCTTTTGATGATATAACCAAAGAGTCCCGTATGAGACGGTGCCAATTACAACAGTCTGAGCACCAGACCTGAACTGCTCTTTTGACTGTAGCCTTTGAAAAGTTTGGGGACACCTCAAGAAAAACATTACATTCTCCCTGCCCAAAATGTTTCAGATGCTTCCATTCAGAAGCAGGCTTGCCATTTGCCTGGCCAGTCAATCAAAAGCACCTGGCTGTTGCATTTCGAGTTTATCTGAATATACACACATCTGGAAAAAGTAAAAGAAGACAGCTCGAGAGGCAGCCTGCTGAAAATGATTGCTTCGCTGCTATGGTTACATACCTCTTTGACTTGGAGACTGCATTATGACTTGGACTACTTTACGCAGGCAGAGGAGTTTCTGTTGTGGGGAGGTGCATTTATTCAACTGGCCCAGTTCTCGTTTTGCACGTGGTATGTTGAAGCTGAACAGTTTGGCCAAAAGGGAGAGAAAAAATAAATAATGTTTATTTATTTATTTATTTTATTTATATCCCGCCTATCTAGTGGATAGACCACTCTAGGCGGCTTACAACAAGGGATACCACAATAAAAACAACAAAATTACATAAAAGAGAACTTTTGACAGTTGGGTTAAAACATTAGGAAAGAAAAGAGGAGGGGATCAGGAATTAACTAGGAGGGAAGGCCTGCCGAAACATCAATGTTTTAAATTGCTTTTTGAAAATACCCAGCAAGGGGGCCGCACGAATATCAGGGGGAAGGTTGTTCCAGAGGCGAGGGGCCCCCCCGAGAGGGCCCCCCGCCGAGAAGGCCCGATTTCTTGTCTTTTCCTTCCGGGCCTCCCTCAGCGTTAGGCTCCTCAGCCTCACCTCCTGGCTCGCGCGAATGACACAGGTAGATCTTGGTGGTAGAAGGCGTTCCGCCAAGTATCGAGGCCCTAAACCATTTAGGGCTTTGTACGTAAGCATCAACACTTTGAAGTCGATGCGGAATCTGATGGGCAGCCAGTGCAATGTGGCCAGAGTGGGTGAAATGTGTTGGAATTTTTTCACCCCACTGAGGAGTCTGGCCGCCGCATTCTGCACCACCTGAAGTTTCCGCATCAATCTCAAAGGTAGCCCCATGTAGAGCGCATTACAGTAGTCTAATCTTGAGATTACGAGCGCATGCACCAAAGTGGTGAGCGCCCCAACTACCTGCTTGTTTTATTGCAGACTGAGAAGACACAGGAGTGACAGATAACACTCTCAAGAGACCCTTGCACTCATGCTCTATGAAACTTGACCAGCATTCCTCTCACAATTTCCAACAAAACGAACAATTTAGGGTTGCCAACTGATCAGAAAAGAGTGGGCTGTCCTGCTCTAATACCTGTCATAGTTCCCTTACCCACAGAAGATAGCAAGGAACTCTCATGGCATAAAATGAGCACAGCTGCCTGTTAAGATCCCCAGATCAAGCTGTGATGAGATGGGTTTTTGAGTTAAAATCTTTTAAGGCATATGGGTTTTGTAATTAAGAAATGAGCCAGAGAGGTTCCATCTTGTTTCTTTGTATAAAGTATCTTTGCTATGCTGACAAATTGTTTTCTAGGCGAGCAGAGAGAATGTTATTCTGAAGGCCTGAGAAAGGACTCTGTGTGATTAGATAGATGGGAATTGTTGTGACTCTTTGATAAACCACAGAAAACCCAAATAACATCTGGTGCGTATGGGAAGGAAGTCATGTGATGTAACAGGACTGTTTGCCTAGTAACGAACTCTGATTGGATGACATCGTGGGAAGGTGCGATGAGCCCTTGCCAGTTACTCTTGAAAAAGGAACTTTTTGCCTATGGACATTGTCTTTCCAAGACCGACCTTTCAGTCATTCGTGACCTACTCTTCAGCCATTTGGGACTGGTGGCCTACCTACATGGACTGGTTCCTATGCTTTGCTGGATTACTTTTGGACTTATGGGATTTTTCCTAAGGACTGTGCATGGACTATTTTCTACAGACTGTTCTATGGAATATTCTTTATGGACTTCTTTTCTTGGAATACTCCATATGGACTATGCTCTTGTAATTTTGTAAGGACTATGGTATATTTACTGGATTTTT